GATACTTTGATTCTAAGTACATCCAAACAATCATCACCTCTTGCAATTGGCTGCTTGCCTCATTTCTATATGCGGCAACCTTCCATTCATAATGGGCAGTAAGTATAGGGACCAGTCAGACACAAAGCACTAGCCAGAATTCGTAAGCTGACCCAAACCAGTGATGCACTTAATTCCACTTCCAAGCTGAACCTTAGTGAAACACTATTTAACAAATGGTTGAAAGGGGGATCAAAATGCATTGGAAACATGTGGCCTCTAAAATACTGCCTTGGCTTTGTTGGTCCTGCAATCTCCAGCACTTATTGTGGACAATTCTTCTTTATGTAAGCTGGTTTTGAGAACCACTTCCAAAATTGCCATGGGATGTGATTCCTATGCCTCCCGACAATAACATGGAACATTATCGCCAGGAAAGATGGAAAGGTGCAGACTCAACTCTACAGAGGATGAGAATGTTCTGTTCTCAGGTGCAAGGCACTATTTAAAAACCTCTTCTACCTTGAAAGTGACAAACAGTAGTGTGTACTTATTTTGTCAACCCTGTAAACTGTACAGTGTTTATTCTGTGTAGGTCTGAGCACCCATCTGAATGGATGACCTAAGCAACAGTACTTCTTGTAGCTCATGCAGTGTTGTGGGTTCTGGGTAGAATTAAATCCCCAGGAAATAAGACAGATGTAATATAATATGGTGTGGTGTGCTCTGGATGAGTTAATTCCTTACCCAGATATTGCAGGTCGACCCAGCCTAAAATGGGTACCGGAATGGCTGTCCTGGGGAAGTAAAGACAGCCGGCACAATGCTGACCACATTACCCACCTAGTGCCGATGGACTGTAAAAATATGGGCGCTCTTCCCATTGACCCGGTACACCTAAAGGCGTGCAAAGGGATCTTTTCTTTTACTCTTTTAACCAGATATACCATGGTTCTATTTCCATGGTAGGCGGTTTGAAAAAGACTGATCTCATAGTCATCATACAGTGGTACTAGAGACACATTAGACACATTAGGGCCGGACCACATATTCCCGAAGACAACTGTGGATGCATTTATCCACACAGCCAACACCAACTGCGGAGAAGGCGCAATAAATTTTTGTTACATTTTGATTTTAAAAATCACTGCATCACAACTCATATGCAGCAGTATGTTTGTATCACTACAAACATTGGCTTAACATGCTCAATATGACGGCTTTCCCCTTTTTTTGTCTAATATTTCATACTTACACACTGTAAATAACCTGTCAGTAGAATGAGATTTCACAGAAATTACACAGCAATGTCTTGTCAATCGAAGCATTGACTTTAACAATGGACTACATGTTTTTTTAAAGGCACTGACACTGGGAAACAAATGGACAGAGGAAGAGAGGAATTCTGTCCAAGGGTCGTAGTGAATGCTGTTAAGAAATGCCATAGGTGCTGGACTAGATTCCATACCTGAAATCAAAAGGACAAAACTGCAGGAATCCACTGTGTGCCCTGTGAGATGTACAAACTGCACAATAGGACAGTTAATGATTCATATAATTATCCTTTCTCTACATTCTGTGGAAATTAGCTGATGAGTGTCAGAATATGAAAGTTTACATTCAATGCATTCCAGAGGCCCACTAACCGAGATACTATGCCAGTTTGGTTCAATCTTCACATTGGGCAATAACTGTGCACAGTGTGCAACATGGACAGACAGCAGAAGATCTGCATGAGGCTCTCTAAAAACAGCTGCTTACAGAATTCCACTTCAACCATGATGCTGTCTAGCAAACCGCAGCAAGAGCGCTGGCAACACCTTATATACACCATTACCAGTATAATACTTATTCTCTTTTTTGATAGAAATTGCCACACCACACACAAAACCTTTATTTAGCCATGAACAGAAACATGAAATACTATTGCAAACTTATTATACAGGCAATTAAAGTGTAATTTTACAAGCAATATTTACAAATAAAAATTGGCCACAGCAAAAAACAATAAGAAAGCAACAAAATTTACACTTAAGGCCAAATCAAGATAATAGTGGATTACAAAGAATTCTCAATCATTAGAGGAATGTAAGCATGCCTTGATGGCAGTGTGGAAAAAAAAAAACAGGTTTACACATTACACCAAAACTTGCAACAAAACATTTTTTTTAAATCATCTCATGTTATTAAGAGTTTGGATACTGAGCGTACATTGAGTATTTAAGGCTGTTTGAAAAAAATGAAGAGCCATCAGAAAGAAGTAACTGAAACTAGTGAAATGTCTGCTTAACATGACAATTCTGTGCACTTTTTGCTGACTGCTGCTGCTGTTTTCCTCATGTAACTTAGCAATTATTGTTTATTTTACACCATGTTTCCTGCTGAGAAACCAACATGGTTGCAACATGGTATTCAACAGAGTAAGTCTAAGAACTTGTGTACATTGTAGCTGACAAACTGGCTATGCAGGGCCAGCTTTAAGGTTTATAACTAGCAGTTACAAACTGTTCCCTTGTGTTGAGAGTACAGTATGTCATTTCTATGACTGAGTGCATCATGGCTCAAAAGTTTCATTTACACTAGTTTGATAGCTACTACTGATGACCGTCTCTCTAGAAAACAGACTGCTACGAACAGGGCAAACCTACAGATGCTTCATCTCACTCAACAAATACTGTGTTGTACAGATACTCATGGTTCCAGTAACAAACTGGTTGCAGATACATTGAATTCATCCCACAAATGCAAAAACTACTTCAATACTTTATTTTAGTGAAAGTGTCAGCAATTTTTATTTGTTTTTCAAAAACCATATTTTTATGGTTTCCAGGCAACATATTCCTAGTCAAGTGTGATTCTTTAATGTATTTCTTTGTCTGAAATAAAATGTTCTCTCAACACAAGCATATTTAAAGAAATATTACACAATTACTTCTTTGATGATTATATTATTAATTATAATTTTAACAGACTTGAGAAGGTCAGCATCCAATACATACCTAACTGGTGTTTTATATTTAAGAAATAACGGATGAGAAAGATATTTAATAGAAGTGGTATATTTGCTTTATTGAAGAATGATAACATCATGGTTAGATTAAAGGCTTAGTAAGGATCGTTTGAAAAAAATTAACTTTCAAAGAAATAGCTCCATGCATGAGACAACAATTTACATGTTCTGAGCACATCATCAGAATGGGGAAGACTGGAGTATGTCATAACTTTTAAAAAAAACTGGACCAAGAGCGAGAGAGAGGGAGAGCAGAGAAACCAACAGAGAGAGAGAGAATGTTAGGCAGTTGGTGAAATGGTGCAGTAGAAATCTTTACCAGAAATGACTGGCAGTATATCAAGGAAAAGATTGTGGGCACACATAATGACCAAAGGCAAACAGCATGGACTATGAAAGATGATACAAGAAATATTTCGACTATGAAAAGACGATACAAGAAACATTTTAATTTTTTTTTTAATGACTGAACAAGTTTAAAATATTCATTCAACAGGATTTACCATCTCATTTTAAATTTGCCATTAAAAAGCTTCATTTAATCAATAGAGTTTTACATTCTTATTATAAATTTCCACTTGGTTCTAAATATGTCAACATTCACAGACGAAACATTTGGAGGCAAAAATAACAGCTAGCATGATAAAGTGTATTATTGATAATTCTAGAGAATTCTTAGGGAACGGCAATAACAAGGAAATGTACAATAATAGTCACGTGCCCAAACTCTTTCTGCCAAAACAAAAAATCCTGTGCAACCAAGATCTGTCTGTGTGTATCAATCAACTTATGAGATGTTATTCTCTCGTCTGCTCCATGTGCGTTCCATTTTGAAGAACTAACAAACAGACCTACTTCCCTCTAACAAGCATGTTATAAAAGCCTATAAATTATGAGCTTGCTTAAATCAGATGTAATGGGCCGGAAGGAGCAGTTTTGCAGACTAGCGGCAGATCACAAAACAATGTGCTAGCCTTCCTTTTAAAGGTGAACACAAAAGAAGAATATTGTATGTTCGGCCTGAGCAAGCTAAAAAAAACCTAGTTCAGATATTTTTAGTATAGTGTGTCCTTTAACATGTATGACTGTTGCACCTGTGAAAGTGCAAACTAATAAAGGACTCTTTTCTACTCATTAAGATATACTGGGTATATGGTGTTAGCCTCATATCTGTATTGCCAAAGTGCACATCGGGTTATGTATTCAATATTACACCACCAGCCACATTTACTACCCAAAACATTTCTTTGTACCATATGGCTCAAGGAACACAGGTCAACTTTTTTTCAACAATCACCAACTCAATGGGGCAAACACATAACTTTCAAGCCAACAGGCAAGTATGGAAGCCTTTGAGCTACTGCACTGCCTCTCTGCAAATAATACATGTATTTTCTAATTCAGTGAGTAGTTACAAGTAAAGGATCCAGTTTACGACAGTGGCTTTTCAAACATACAACATACAGTAGTAGACCTATATTTTTAAAGACCAATAGGCACTCAATGGGTGATGTGGTCCACAGTATGCCAGCGACCTTTATTTCTCAGGTTTTACCTTTTGTTAACAAAAATGTTCCCTGGAGGAGCCGGACTTGGCTACCAGGTCGACCCAGTCTTGAGTGGGTACTGGGTGCAGTCCCGGGAAGTAGAGGCGCTGGTGGGATGCTGACCACATCATCCATCTTGTGCCGATTGGTCTATTAAAAACCGGTCTAGCCCTATATGCCTAAAGGCGTGGGAAAGGGTCCTTTTTTAAACAAAAAAAGTACAGGACCCTTTCACACCATTGGCACATCCTACATATGGTGCTACACACATATTGTTAAAGACCGATTAGTGCCTAATGGGTGATGTCGTTAACAAACAATACATCAGCCTCTTTACTTCCAAGTTCCCCCCCCCCCCTTTTGGTATCAACTGTAAACTTCTCTTGGAGCTGAAATCCCTAAATGCATTTCTATCTGCCAGTCAAACATACAAGCAGTGATCATCACTATAATCCATTTTACAGTTAAAACACTGGGGAAGATGTAGCGTGTCTGTCAACACAGACATCAGGATCTAGCTGTGGTCTTTCAAGGTCCACTAGGTCTCCTAATGCATCACTTATAGGTACTCCATATGTGTTATCACCGGTGTCTTGGTGAAGAAGATTGTTATGTGTGGTTTGTATTGGTTTTACTCCTGTATATTTTATATCTTTATACTGCGTGTTTTCATGAGAACTTATTATCAGCCCTTTACCACTTCCCTGATCTTGTGCCACAGTAGCGCCTGCATTTCTGACTGCACATGACTGTTGTTTCTTGGCTGCAGTACTCTGGTGAAATTTCAACTCGTCTTCCACGAAGGAGAACGTATCCACCAAGTTATCTTTCACTGTTCTTGTATGTCTAGGTTTATGAGCATAAACGTCATCGCTGTTGGTACATTGTTCTTGTTCATAATTCATGTATCGACGGTGATCCACATCAGACCTACTGTCTGCTACACGATTAGCATTTGTGTCATTGTTCTTAACAAAGGCACGTTCCTTAGGAACAGACAGAGCCTTGTTCACAATGTGAGCACTTGCAGAACCGTGGTCTCCTGTAGAGCTCTCCACTGTCAATGACTCTGGCTGGATATTACACAGGACATCATTAGAAGACACTCCTAAATCTATAAGTAGCTTTTCAAGCTCTTTTTGTTCTTCAGCGTCCACTTGGGCATTATGTCTTCTTTGTTCTTCTAACTCACACTGTCTCTTTTCCTCTTGTTTGTGAAACATAATCTCTGCCTCTTCCTGCTCTAAGAGGAGCAGCTGTTGTCTCAAACCAGCAACATCCATTTCCAGCGAGCCAAGGGTCTTCTCACTTTCAGTTATCTTATTATGCGCATCCTGAAAATAAAGATAAAATGCACAATGTAAGCCCACCCGTAATACGCAATTTAAAAATAAATTTAAATCATCTGTTCTACTCTAGTAGTAACTTAATTATAAATGTACATTTATAAATAATTATAAATGTATGAAAATTCTTGTATAAGCAGACAATGTGAATTACCAAAGATCAGCTATATGTCAGGGGTTATGGTAATAAAATTTTATACTTTCGCTGTGAACAGGTAACTTTTTTTAACCCATTATCTTTCTTTAGAGATGTCTAGTCTGTTTAGATATGACAACTCATACTATACAATTCATGACAGTAACAGGTGCACATCTCTAATAACAATGACTGATGATCAAAATTGAAAATTCAAGTTCAGAAGGCCCTTATTCATATCAAATTCTGTAAAACTGCAACCAGACTTCATCAAAAATGAAATTATCAATTCCTTAAAAGAACAGACAAGGTTACTAATCTGCCAGACAAAATATTTGATACTGAAAATATACCTCCGGGCATAAGTAAATCTTAAGCAGATACTAGAGAAAGTCCTGGACATCCAAGAAAAGTGACTTGAAGAATAAAATTACAGCAGCTAAACTTAGTAGAAACAGGAGTAAGAAAGGGGTATTTAGATATCTAGCTTAGTTAAATAAGAGATTAACTAGACACTGCAGGTTATATCTCAGAACATATGTAAACCTATGTCTAGGATGTTTGATGTTTAAAAGCTTGCACCACCAGTGTTGATTTCAAGGCCCTATTATTGGCAGAAAAAGAATAGACCCCCAAAACAAGCGAGTTGTAACATTCGACAAGTAGGGGCGCTTCCTCTAAAGTCAGTGTGCATCTGCCTGAGAGGCGGGGAACCAAGTCTACATACAAATTAGCCAGATCTGTAAAACAGATGTGCATGCAAAACACAAGTTTTGGAACAAGATCAATGTCCAGAAGTGGACGAACAGCCAGAACTTAGAAGAAAGAAACTTCTCTAAGGTTTTCTCACCAGATACATCAGTCACAAAGGCCTGTCACATTGTGTTGTTGGCTTCTCTAGTCAAAATCTTTAACACTAGTTCTTTTGTTTTCACATTAAATTTTTTCTGCCTCATCATTAATTTTTCAGCCAGTTCTTTCGCACTTTCTGTCATTCTTAAGTGGCCTGCTCCTTTCCTGCTCAGACCATTTCCACTATGGTGGCTTGATAAAAACTATTCTGTGTCCTTAATTTGGCCTTTAATTACATGACAGATATAAGTTCTACTTGGCTGCAAATAAAAAATGAGTTAATTCATAAAATGGAAGCCATGTTGAACATATATAACTCACCATTAATGATTTGTTTAAGGATTGTTCCAGATGATTGACTTTGACTATATGCTCCATCTCCCCAGAAGACTTCATAAACTCTTTCCTGGTGAAGAAAAATCTTACATGTTATTTCCTTTGACTTCCTACATTTTGTGGGAACCATGGCAGTACAGTGGCCAGATGCTTGCCCTGATCTTGGACTCAAATTTATAGCTGGGTCATAATCAATCAGTAGGTCCTTAACAGAATGTCGCTCTCATCCCAGCATGCCTGAAAGTATCTCTCTCTCCTCTAGCCACTTCTTTGGCCCTAAATGTTTTCATAGCCAATGCATCTTCAATGCCTCGTATCTACCTTTGCAAAGGTCGGCCTCTGCCTCGTTTTCCAGAAATGTATCATCCATTACTGTTTTCTCCAGGCTGGTATCCGTTTAACATGGCCAAAATAGTGCTTTAAAAACGCACCACTATAACATAAATTGTTGCCGAATAAAGGCGGGAAAAAGTGTGGGAATGGATTTTCCCTGTGTTTATCATGCGGTAGAGAGCGGATGGCTGCTGGAATTGAAAGTGCATGATTCAACTCATGGTTTTGTGTACAGTCTACATGAAAACATTGAAAGTTATACATACAATACGATTCCCACCAGCTATGACCCTAAAAATGTATAGGTGTTGTGGCATTATAGTCGGCATAAAAAGGGCGTTGAGACAAAATACCAAGTACATGTGCTGGTCATGCCACAACTATCTGAAAATGACTGTCAACAAGCCACTCGTATTTGGAGGCCGGAATGAGCTCACAGGCCACTGCCAAAAGAATGAACTGTCACCACAGCACTCATTTATGTCTCAGTGAGCGTTGCGGAACCAATAGCAGTGCCCAGGATAGACATCGAAATGTCCAACCACGAGTTGTAAAAACCCAATGGTATACACTTATATACTGATGGCACAGAAAAAGGGTGTTTTACGTTTTAATGTATTCTGAAGAATTAGGAATTAAACAGCAAAACAATTTTTTTTAGACAGGGAATTTAAATAAAATCAAATCAACTCCAATCAGTTATGCAAGAGTGTCATAAAAAGAACCAATACCCAAAGTAAGCTAACTATTACAACAGATCTACTTGGATGTTATCAATCTCCTTTCTATTAAATTTGGTTTAAGTTTTTAATTTTTTAAACGTACCTTAGGAAGTGGCATTTTCACAGGATAAATATAAATTTTGCTACCAGCCTGGAAACTGCTAGTCTACATAACATACAAGTTTTATTTTAGAGGTGCAGATATAGATTCAGATCTTTGGCACACTGCATTTTGGTTTACAGCTGGGCAGCAATATCTGTGCTTTTGATCCAGCACATCTGATATCTGTAAATCCCCAATAAGTCGCCTTTTACAACATTCTTGCCTCATAGATTGTCTTTTCTCCCAGAGCCCCCAAAACAGGACCCCTGAATCGACACAGAGAACCATATGCTGATAAGCAGTATTAAACTGAAACCGACGAGATGCCCATCTTATAACATGGAAGTAATACAATGCAGGATATCTCAAACATTAGGACAGAATTAATTATCAGTTTTTTTACAAGTACATAACCTTACACCACCTTACATGGTGGCATCAGCCTCGAGTGCTAAAGGGTCCTGGGTTCAGGCTGGGATTTTTTCATGTGGACCTCTAGTAATTTCCCCTGGTCTCTGGCTAGTAAGATTGGATGTCTGTGTGTATTGTTGCACACATAAAAAAATCCTTTGGCAGTTGGAAATCAAAAAGAGCATTCTAACGGCGCTGCCCGGACAAAATTAGGAGTTAAAAATCTACCCAAAACAAATATCATGCCTGAAGTGGTCATTAAAATCTTGGTGAGTTGTCTTGTACAGAAAGAAAGACTTCAGTTTTAATCTGTGCCAACACATTCAGTTTCAGCAAGTCCTCAATCAGTTGCTTTTTGTATGACATGGTTGTTTAGAGGCATCAGGTCTGTCCCCTCCCCTCAACCTCCTGCCCCCACACAGGATCCCATAAACTACACAGCGAATAAAATGATATGTATAAAGTGGTCATTAAACTTGGAGGTGTCTTTTACAGGAAGATCAATAAAGTCATGAAGTAGAAATCAAGGCTTAAATAAACAAAATGTTTATATTTCTTACTGAGAACTCTGTAATACTCCAGATATTGTCTGGCTCTGAAAAAGTGTTGTACTGCTTTTCTTTCTGTACTCTTTCCTTGTTGTATCACCCAGGTTCATCACAGTCAGTGGCAGATTCAGAAAAGTTCTAAAGAATAATGTTAAAAAAAAAAAGCAGCAAATCAAGTTTGAAAATAGAACAGAGCTGTACACAAATCACAATATGCAAAACTCAAATATAATAAAAATAGCTTTACTGACAAGAGAGCTCTCTGTGTACTCCATTACCTTTTGTCTTTGATAATTATGTTATTGTCAACACATCACCATATCACAAGCTAGCACAGAAAATAAACTATCATGATTTTAATATTTCTGCCATTTGGGACATTGTTTTCCTCTCTGCTCTTTATTTATCAATGGAGCTTATGCACTCAAACAATTCAGGCCATGTCCTCCAATCCTTTACTCTGCTGCCTCCAAATATGGATCACACACCATATACTTTTATGTGCCAATGGCGAGAGAAGGGTCAATAACTACTTTGTTGACAAATATTACATTAGCGAGTGAACTCCACTGCTGCCAGTCTGTTGTTTTTATGTCCATGGTATTCCTTGTAATTGTGTATTCCTTCATTTTCCTTTCTACTGTTTTTCTCCAGGTTCCTTATGTTCCCTTTGCCTCCACAGGAGAGTTGTCTTTATCAAGTTTTTTTTTTTTTTACTGTGTTGTTCTTTCCTATCTGTGCATTCAAGTCTCCAAGTATTAAAAGTATGTCATGCCTTAGGATATCTTCTATTACTTTCCAACTACAGTGTTTCAACATTCCAGCATCCAATACTGAAGTTGTTTTTGGGAGGGAAGATTCAGTCTGGCTGTTGACTTCCTTCTGGCTCTGATCCCCAGTCATCCTTTGTCTGGCTAGTTTTATTTCCTTCCACTGATGCAATGTTTTCACTGGATCTTATTTCCAATAATGGACTGTCAACTTCCTGCCCAACCTTGGTGGACCAAAATGCTACCTTGTTTGACCCTTCTTCTCAAGACCTGCCCGACTTGGTTAAACCTGCTAGGAACACATGTTTCCTAGCAGCATAACTTTAAGAACCGTTAGAGCAGACAAGCCATCCCGCCATATGGCAGGAATACCATAGAATGTCCTTTTCTGTACTTCACTTTACACAAATAAATAAGCTTTTCCACCAGCTTTATGTTATTTTGTCTTTAAAAGGGGAAATGATGGTCACTGTCTGGTTAGTGTGCTTCTTACTAATAGTATAGTATTGTCTTTTCCTCACTGTTGGGTTGACTGAAAAAAAAAATTGTCTCACTGCCTGCTTACAACTTTTTTTGAGAGGGGGTGTGTGCATGCGTGCACATATACGTTTTAAGATTTCAGTTTTGTCCCTGGCAGAAAAAATCCATCACTTTACCACTGATTCAAACTTGGGTTTCATGAATGAGAACCCAGCATTCTTAACACTGCTGGATCAGTTGCTTCTCTCTTATGTTGATGCAGCATACTAAATGAGTACCTGATAATTTTCACAATGTTTTGGTACTGACAGGCAGCGAAGCAAAGAGCTGGTCATTCTACTTTATTATAACACAGTAAATGTAATACCAAACACACCAGGAAGGGAAATGTAGGAGTGCGAGTGAATGAAAGAGTGGATTTCTGTGTATGTGCTACAAAAGAGATAGCTATGGGAACACTCAAACTGGACAAGGAAGGCATTCTGAAGATCAATCAATATTGGACAAAAGCTGATGGAAGATGCGATGTTAGATGAAATAACATGTGTAAGAATGTAAATTTGAAACTCAGAGTGGATCCAGCAAGAATATACTGAAGAGTCTGATATGTGAGCAACCAGAGTACACCTAAGACATTTGCTGCAGGAGACGGAGCATCAGTGTGTATGTTCAATATGCAGTGATGTTGATTCTTAAATCAGTAACAACCATGGAATTAACATGACTTCTGTCTAAAAAAAAGGCCTAAATATGAACATTAATAAGACTCACCCATCTGTCTTTTGCATGAAGCCGTAGCTGCAAGTGTGAATGGACATATCTGCCGATGATGAAGACGTGCACAGCAAGAAAATAAAGTCCTCAGACTGACCAGTAAAGCTACTTGTCACCGCCAAGTTGTTATGTAGGTTTGTTTCTCTCAGTGATGGCCTTGAAGTTGAATTGTGTCGAAAACTGTACCAGCCTATTATGTTCTATTTAAATGGGAAAATAAAACATCAACATTGAGAACCTTAATGACATATTCCAGCACAGAAGATAGTTTACACAGATTATTATTAGTAATTAGGACAAGCAATGCAATGTTCTGTAAACAAAATGATCATGTGGTTAATCTTATGTACAGTGTAACAAGAGACACATGTGACTGTTTTTTTTTCAGTTAAAGAGACTTATGTTTTGTGCCTCATTTTATACTGATGTAAATTCTGTAGTAGTGAACCTGACCAAATACAGCAACATATATTAGCTAAAAAATATGTGATGTATTGTTTGGTTCCTCATTATTTCAATACCACAGTTGTGTATGTGTGCGTGTGTATGTGTGTGCATGCGTGTGTATATCTATAGAATTGTTAGTAGTAATTTCTATTTTTTTTTTCAAAGCGTGTGCTCTCAAATGTGCACGTTTCGTTACAACATTTTTCAATGAACCTCTTCAGTTTCATTATTTTTTTTAAATCGATTTTTCTGCAACAACCCCCTTTCCCCCCAATTCTTCAAATTCTAATAATGCATTAAAGTTTGCGCTGACTGTGCTTCCATAAGAACATTATTTTACTTTCACTGCTTTATTCGTAACACTGCCTCCATGTACAGAAGCTTTGTCCATGTTTATAAATCTTAAAGTAAGAATGTGTCCACCAACCAACGTTAATTTAAGAAAAATATGAGAAAGTCATAGGAATTAACTCACCTGTTCTTTGCTTGAAAGAAAGGACTGCATTCTTTCATTGTCGATAATTCCTCCCCTATTGTAAATACAATGCTGGCTTGGCCATGGGATAAATGAGGACACATCTGATAGAAAAAAGACAGCAATAAAATAATGTCCCATCAAAAATAGAAGTAAAAACAAAAGTTAATTAACCTTTTTGTGCATGCTGAAATGGAAGCCGCCATGGTGTGGCAGCTTAAAGCTTGTTCCGAGGGTCGTCGGTTAAAATCTGAACACAGCCAGATTGTGTTTTTTTAACCCCCTTGGCTCCCGGGTCGATCCAGCCTTAACTGGGTACTAGGTAAGTCCTGGGAAGTAAAGGTGGCCGGCATTCACCCACTGAATACTGATTGGCTTATAAAATGTTGGTCTTGCACTATATGTCCAATACACATGAAAGAATGAAAAAGCGTCCTTTACTTTACCTTTACATGTTGAGAGGTATGATGCATAAAATGCTAGCCCCAAATTTGTAATGGACTATTCAACTGGTGATGTGGTCAATATCTAGCTGCCTGCTTATGCTTTCCAGAAAATGTCCTGGTACCTATTTGAAGGCTGGGTCAGCTTAAGAGCAAAGGTATTTTAAAATCTCCACCTCAATTAGGTTTTGAGGCTATGACCATCATACAAGCAGGCAAGCATTCTGGCCGCTGCAGTGTCAAAACTGACCTGTATAACATAATCCAAACATTTCTTTCTATTAACTCACACTATACTTATAAACCAAACAAAATCAGAAAAATTAAGAACTGAGGGGGAAAACCAAAAATATTTATCACTGGCAAACACTACAAAAGGAAGAAGGCTTGGACATGTTTACAGAATGCCTCTTGGCACTCTGGCAACAAAAGCTCTTTGATGGGAAAAGGAAATGTGAATGACCTAAGGAAACCTGGAGAAGGACAGCAGAAAGGGAAATAAGGAATGTGAAATGACATAGGTGGAAAAGCAGCAGAAAGGTTACAGATATAATCAAAGTTAGTTGTCCATCCTTTACACTACACTGGAGAACCAACTCTAGCATTTTTTGGATTCAGTAGTTTGCCACCGCTTCTGAACGGTCGGCTGTCAATACACCTGTCAAACTCAATATAAAGTGGTATGCTGCCAAATCATCTACAGCTAAAATCAATCCAGGATTATCTCAGAATTACGATACACTGTCACAAAACCTAAGTTGCAGATGCCAAATGGCCAAAAATTTGGATACAGATATGGGTACCAATAACCAATCACATGCTGACATTCGCAAGAAATACATAAACTATGTTGTAATATCTGTGCCTTTCGGCCTAACACAGCCCATTTCAGCAAACTCCTACTTAGTCATCTTTTATGACATGCTTGACGGGGAGCCTGTTGGTCTTTTAGAGGGTTATTCAAATAAGTTTACTCATGGGCCAATATGTTGACAAATGGGGATCGATGCAGGCTAGAAACCAGAGCCCCAGCGTAGACAGATCATTAATACAATCTAATTTGCAAATATCCATGGGTCACTTGCTAGGCCTCTCTGCGGGCTGGACTCAGCCTGTGGGCTGCCAGCTGAATAGCCATGATCTATTCTTTCTTCTCAAAATTGAGCCATGGGACCTGCACAGGATTAAAACACTCTTTCAGATACTGTATTGATTTTAACTGTGGTGGCACAGTGGCCAGTGCATTCGCTTGCCAAGACAATGGTCTGGGTTTAGTTACCAGCAGATTCTGATCATTTGTTTTAATACAGCTTTATCCTCTGTGTCAGAAGTGACTGAAAGTACACCAGACAAAAGGTATAAGAAGAATAAAAATACAGTTCTGGGGTGGATCAGGCCTCATAAAAATGGGTACTAGACAATTAATGGAACACTATGGGAGGACAAGATGATGAGGTAAGGAACGGACTACCTTTTGCGAATATTATGGCCAAGAATATGTAAAAGCCTAACATAAAATTTCAGCAACAATGATCATTATGGGACTACCTTTATCGTTTAACGATTCTATAGGATAAAACTGCATGCTATCTCCACAGTGAAGGTTGAATACAGTGTGCCCACTGTTGCTTTGGGGAATATCATGTGGTGAGATCTCGTCTCCCCCAGTACCACTTGTACCTAAAGCCAAAAGAGTGTTGTTTAATTTTTTTTTACAGCCCAGCCACAATGGAAATCGAACCCATCCACCTGCCCCCTACATCAAGCAATGTGCAATTGTGAAACACATTCACTAATCTCTAAGCCATAGAGCTGAAGTGTTTCTGTAACGTGCAAGAAAGTGCAAACACATAAGTAATACTTACATAGATATGAATTAATGTCATACGTATGGATTTGAGAATCACTTATTTTGTCTTCAATGTGCTCTATCTTCTCCCCTAACAGAAATCCATACTGTGGACAAGATCAAGGGTAAATTTTAATACATACACAATTCTAACATATTAACAGAACAAAGAAATTAAAAAAACTAGTTTAAAACAAAGATATGGATGGTAATCATCAGCAAACTGGTACTCATTTCTGAGTGACTTATTTAGAGATGAATTAAAAACTGATATGACAGCACTCAAGAAATTTCAACAAAATGCTCTGTCCTACCTTCAGCAGATAGCTCAAAGTTACAGTTCTGATGGTAACCAGTAACAGTGTGACTATATGTTCACCTTGCCTTTCCATTATGATTTATTCAGAAGCTCAAATTGACTTTTTCTGCATCATCACACTATACACTCAACTATACTTTATAGGATAAAAACACACCCTATGTTTGTCTTAATGCCCCTAATCCCAATATTATTTGCCATGAATCTGTCCAAGCAGTTACTTGAATTATTTTAGTCATTATTACTTATTCGCATTGTGTCCTAACCTTTTACCTTAATTCATTTATTCCTGGTGGCTACTTGTATTCATTGTGTCCTATGTATCCTAGTTCTTTACTGTAATTCATTCAGCCCCGGTGAGTATTTGTATTTATTGTGTCCTATGTATCTTACACTACCCAAGAAATCAAAAGCTGTTGATTGTGAAGATTACAGAACTATTAGCCTAATGAGTCATGTAACTAAGTTACTCTTGAAGATAATACAAGCAAGAATTCAAAATAAAATAGAGAAAGAAGTTTCTGAAGAGCAATTTGGATTCCGTAAAAACAGTGGTACTCGAGAGGCCATAATTTGTCTAAAGATGCTGACTGAAAAATATATAGAAGTTCAGAAAAATATTTATGCATGTTTTATACATTACAAAAAAGCTTTCGACAGAGTGCAACATGAACAACTAATTACAGCTCTTCAAAACATAGGACTAGATGGAAAGGATATCAGACTTATTAGAAACTTATACTGGGAGCAAGAAGCAACAGTAAGATATGACAACATCTGCTCACCCCAGATAGTGATCAAGAGAGGAGTAAGACAAGGATGTGTACTGTCGCAAAGCCTTTTCAACTTATGTACAGAAACCATTCTTAAAGAAATTTCAGAATTACCAGGACTGAACATAAACGGTAGAATAATAAACAATCTGAGATATGCTGACGACAATGTTGCTAGCAGAGAGTGAGCAGGAGTTGCAAGACCTAGTGGTGCAAGTAAACAGAAGGAGTGCATATTTTGGATTAGATATTAATTTGAAAAAGACAAAAACCATGATATTTAGCAAAGAAAAAAATCAGCTAACAATGAATATCACAGTGAATGGGGTGAAATTGGAACAAGTTAAAAATTTCTATCTTGGACAAGTAATAACATGTGACGGCAGAAGTGAAACAGAAGTCAAGAAAAGAACAGGGATGGCCAAAAACATTTTCAACAACATGCAAAAGTTACTGACATCAAGAGAAATAAACAATACATTAAAAATGAGAATTGTCAAATGTTATGTATTCTTAACCTTACTGTATGGCACAGAGACATTGACAATAAACAAACAACTGGAAAATCGTATCAATTCTTTGGAGATGTGGATATACAGAAGATTAGGTCGTATTTCATGGAAACAAAAGCTATCAAATACAGAGGTACTGAGGAAATTGTGAATGAAAAGAGAGTTGCTAGGTGAAATAAAAAAGAGACAAGTGAGATATTTTGGTCCTAGTTGTTTACCATAATTCTCTCATCCCTGGTGAGTACTTGTATACACTGTGTCCTATGTATCCTAGTTGTTTACCATAATTCTCTCAGCCCCGGTGAGTACTTGTATACACTGTGTCCTATGTATCCTAGTTGTTTACCATAATTCTCTCAGCCCCGGTGAGTACTTGTATTCATTGTGTCCTATGTATCCTAGTTGTTTACCATAATTCTCTCAGCCCCGGTGAGTACTTGTATTCATTGTGTCCTATGTATTCTAGTTGTTTACCGTAATTCATTCAGCCCCAGTGAGTACTTGTATTCATTGTGTCCTATGTATTCTAGTTGTTTACCGTAATTCACTCAGCCCAATGAGTACTTGTATTCACTGTGTCCTATGTATCCTAGTTGTTTATCTTAATGCATTCAGCCCCGGTGAGTACTTGTAGCTATTTTAGTCAAAATTTAAAAATTGGGTTTTTTACTTTTAAACTAAGACAGCTGAATAGAGGATGAAAACCCGAGTCCAACGGTACCTAAATGAAGTCTGTATGTCAATTCTAAGTGGAGATATTCACATTTCAGTGACGGAAAGTTGCCCAAAATATTTATAATGGAAAACACAGAAACAAGATGGCGGCGTGTTCCCAAGTGAAAACTGGACCTCAATTTATCATGTTTAATGTCAATAACTCTCAAGTTTTTGGCTGAACCCCTTAGCAACCATATGTCATTGCTTTCAGGACAGCAAGCTCTAACTAAAGTTGTTGCCTTTTAAAAAATATGATGTGATGCAAACCTAAATAACATAAAAATGAGTCAGTTTATCAGTATTCATTAAATACCTTATGAATTTATTATTATTATCCAGTGAGTCTTGCAAGACGTATACTGTAATATATATATATATACTTTTGTAACTATTCTTCCTGCTATGATGCATCTCTTTCTGTTTGTTGAATAATGCTTTTTCTCGCACTGTCACTTGCGTGTGTGTGTGTGCATACATCTGACCGAAATTTTGCTTTATTCCACTGTTTAAAAAATGTTTAATAGCAAGTGGATCGACTTCATTGCATTGTTACTGGTTTAGTATAGCTTGGTCTTTCTCCACATAACTGAACGGCTAGTGCATGCTAAGAGCTTAGCACGAAGCCTGAATACCGTAGCTCCAGCAACAGCCCTCAGAGGTCTCCGCTAACCAAAAAAATTCATTTTTTAGTTGAACAACGCAGTGAACGTACTGCAACCTTCTGAGCGCGAGGTTAATGGCTTGACCACTTTGCTACGGAGACCCCCATATTGTTTTATAACCAAGTGAAAATGAGAGCCTTTCTTACTGATTTAACATAATCCTTTTTTCAGTCTTTGCGAGTTATTCTTTCATTTTATTGATGATGAGGACATTTCACCATAGCGTTCCCCTCTTCTTCTTAACTAGTCACAGCTTGATATTTTATTTACTTGTTCAAAATAATCTAAGGTAACCGCCCGATTTGTGATTCAGTGCTATATTTTTCATGGAGTAAAATTATTAAATAAGCTCCTTTGTGATTCGCTTTGGATTTATGTTGTGTTTTCATGGAGCAGGATTTCATAAGGTAAGAGGAAAAATAACATTTTAATTTTTATAAGTATCTATGTCCTACGTGATCTGTTTGCTGGCTAGTATATATTAGTATATATATATATAAAAAATGATCAAATATTATTAATCATAAGTTGTAAGTAGCCCTAGCTGTAAGTAAGTAAACTTATACTTATGCAGTTAAACAAATTATATTTTTTTATTAATTTCATTAATTATCAACTTTCTAAATAAGCATATCTAAAATCTAAGGAAGTAAAAACTACAATTTTAATACTAATACATAGTATCAGTCATAAATAGTACTTGTTATACTATCTAAGACAATAAAAATGCACCACAAAATCATAGTGCAGAAATATATGGCAGACATTTTTTAAATGTCAATCTGGGAGCGGAGAGTGGGGGTCAGCAGGTAAAAATGCCTTAAACAGGTAAGGTCCTTCATGCCCAATGATAGGTTATGGCTTAAAAAATTATATAATGGCTAAAGATTTTAAAAATGATTTAAAAACTACTTTAATGTGATTTAAAAGTATATAAAAAAATGTTCAAACCAATGACTGTGTCCATTTTTAATGCTCAAAATACCCTAGCGAAATGGTCTATGTCAAAAACGTGGTAAAATATTATTTTCAGCTATTTAAAACTATTAAAACTGATGTCAAATGAAAGTTAGAGACAGTTAAATGATTAATAGAAACAAAACTTGCATTATTTTTCAACTGTTTTTATAAATAACTAGATATTAATCAATCAGTTCGTTTAGACCACGTGGCGGCCATTTTGAGAAATCTCCGATTTAGCTCTCAATACACGATTGGGAACAAATTCAAACTTTTAACTTCGTCCTGTACAGATTCCAACAAAACTTATCAACTTTATGTAAAAATGGACACAGAATCCAAAAATGTCACTTTAGAGTCTTTTATTTTACCGAAAACAAGAGATATTAAAGAAAATTTACTTCCCGCATGGCAAATAGGGAAATTTATTAGGTTGAACAAAGATCGCTACTTAAGTTAGGTGTCGTTTTGTAGAGCAACCTCTTCTGAATAACTTTGAGCCCACGTATTCGATTCAGAACAGCCAGTGTTGAGCGACGGGTTTTCAAAGTAACTGATACGCAAAGGAGCCATTTTCCGTGGACCACCGACTCCATCTTGTAACTAAGCGCTCTCTACTTTCGTTTTTAAGTGGGTCACTAAATGATCGTAAACGCTAGTACTTGTATTCACGGTGTCCTATGTATCCTAGTTGTTTACCGTAATTCACTCAGCCCAATGAGTACTTGTATTCATTGTGTCCTATGTATCCTAGTTGTTTATCTTAATGCATTCAGCCCCGGTGAGTACTTGTACTTACGGTGTCCTATATATCATAGTTGTTTACCTTAATGCATTTAGCCCCTGTGAGTATTCACTGTGTCCTCTGTATTAATTCAGTCCTAGTTTTTACTTCTACTCATTTGTTACTAGTTGTCACTTTCTGACTTTCAATGATCCCAGTCTAGTATGGCAGATAGGCAGGCTGACTTTTTAAGGAGTTATTTCCAGCTATACAATAAAAGCGAATGTGATAATTTACTGTTATTACTTGCATGACAAAGTAGTTTGACATTTCTAAGTACAGAGTACACTAACTAGTACATTTAGTCTTACGATCGGGACCAATTCGGTACAATTTCAATGAAAATAAAAAATATTTTAAAGAGAAATGAAAGCGTAGTAAATGGGTTATAGTTATACCTGATTTGCACCGTTTAAATGGCTAAACAGCAGAGATGAAAGTGTTGAGCCGTCCAAACACACCGACATGTTATTTACAAATCCTGACAAAGTTTACCGTTACAAATAAACCATTTATAGAAATCCAGATGTGCAGGAACTATTTAATCTCGGTCACTGCAGTAACGGCCATTGCCCATTTGGTTAAAAATAAACTTCAAAATCAAAGAGCCAGCTCGTCTGTAAGACCACGCAAAAGATGGAAGACACCACACACACATACTGTACTAAAGGTTACTTCGCAACCGTTTTGTAGTGCCTCATATAACGGCGCACCTGAGTGAAACCCTGATGATTATAGGGGACAAACGACTTATATACTATGGGGATATGCTAAAGCCAATGACTTGCGTTCACTGGCTTTGAACTCCGGCCGAAAGTTTTGGTTGTTAGTCCACCTCTAGACTTTCGTCTTGTTGCAGAACTTAGTTTCTCATGCACATCAGTTTTACCCTTTATCGATTATCTGTATGCTGACTGTTGATTCCTTGCTTCATAGGCACATGCACTCTGACTTCCAAAGAAACTCCCCTAACGAGTCGAATGTTACGACATGCTTGATGGAGGACAGTGGGTTTATTCTTTTTGCTCCCCACAGTGGGACCCTGGAACCCACACAGAGAATTACACGAGCAGGTTGTGAACGGCATGGACACGGGACACATAATACTCGTTCCGTATGTCAGTACATTCAGCAGGTTGTGAACGGCATGGACACGGGAAACATAATACTCGTTCCGTATGTCAGTACATTCAGCAGGTTGTGAACGGCATGGACAAAGGGACACATAATACTCGTTCCGTATGTCAGTACATTCAGCAGGTTGTGAACGGCATGGACAAAGGGACACATAATACTCGTTCCGTATGTCAGTACATTCAGCAGGTTGTGAACGGCATGGACAAAGGGACACATAATACTCGTTCCGTATGTCAGTACATTTTGCAGGCTGTCGCAACCCAAAATTGGGCTTGATGAAATATCATCAGTTGAACTGTTTGGCATCGGTTTCTGATATTAGCAGGCACCATAACAGAGGAGGCGCACTGACGCAAAGAAAACTTTGGGGAGGGGATGAGATCCAATTTATAATTTTCTAGGCAGGCAGATGTTAATGTGCTTAAGTATGTTTGTGCAGTAATCATTAACATGTGCTGAGTGACAAATAAATATAATAATATATTTAAAATGATTTTAAATGTGTAAACAAATACTTACGAAGAGAATATCTAATGATTAAGGAGACCAGGTAGTCTTCTTGCAAGTTTTGCAACCAAAAAAAAGGGGGGGGCGCAAACCCCAAACATTTTAGGGGATGCAGCCCGCCTTGCAAAGGGGGAGGGGGTGGGGCGAGGCTGAAGGTGCCTAAGCGACCAGATTTCTGCGTTCCTGTAAGGAAGAGGATCAAGTAGTTGAGTTTATCAGGAGTCATGACTTTGTTCCTGGCGGTAGGTACCAGCACCTTTATTGGGTCATCATTTTTTTCCAGCGTTATTGTAACAGAGATTGTGTGGTGAGTACTCGAACTTTTCCCAGAAACTTCATGGGAAAGTACTGGAGCCTGTATTTCTCGAGTAAAAAGTCATGACAAGAACAATGTGCAGTTCTCCGCCTTGATCTTCATTAACACCTGGACTGAGCTGATATCATCAACGCTTTACGGACTAGACCAATAGGGGACACTGACAAGTCTCAGACGCTAGGATGAGTGCGTGACCTGGAAGTAAAGCCTGGTAGAACCCGTCTCTGACGTGTTCGAGGTCAAGATAAGAGACATTGTAACCAGTAGATGTACCTTGGGGTTGCTGCTGCAACGGAGGACTGAGTTACGCGTAAGAATTTTAATTTGCAATGGAGTCGATTGTGATAACATAACATTTTGCTATTTCTAAATTCGTATGTGCTGACCATGCGTCGGTATATACACGTTTTGTCTTACTGACGAAGTGTTACAATTCAGCACTGTTGATGTCCTTGCGACAGCAAGGTAAATCTATGGGTCAGACCCTTTCCTATATGCCCCACATTAATTCAAATAATCGCTGACATATTCTTGTCCTCGCCTAATTTCATCGTGGTTACAAACACTTGCACGTCTCCTGTCAGTTGCATTATTTATTATCGCTGACATTATAAACCCACTTTTGTGGCGATGCTAATTGTTTAATCATCATCATCATCATCAGGCGCCAATCATGCCTCTCCATAATACACGATCTCCTACAGCATGTATCAGTTCGTGTGCCGACACAAATCCATGCCACGCAACAAGACTGTCAAGACTCATCTCTCGTTGTCTTCCTCTATCCCTCCTTCCACAAATCTTTCCAGTGGTCACAACATGTTCTATTTTCCCTCTTCTCATAACATGGCCGAAAAATGATGACTGTCTCCTTCTTATGTCTGTGAAAAGTTGTCTTCGGGCTCTCGCCTCTTTAAAAATCTCTTGGTTGCTCTTTTTGGCTGTCCAAGGTATTCTAAGCATTCTTCTGTAAAACCACATCTCTGGGGCCTCAATAAATTGTTTGGCCTGCCTACCGATTGTCCAGGATTCACAGCCATATGTTAAAACTGGATGTATGTAGCAAACAAGAATTCTTTTTCTAACTCTCAATGACAATGATATATTGCACAAGATATTCTTCATTTTATAAAATTTAGCTTTTGCCTGTCCTATTCTGTTTATTATCTCAGTTATGCATCTTCCATCTGATGTTATCCATGTGCCCAGATACTTAAATTTCTGTACTTGTCCTAAAATAACACCATCGACTTTTATTACACAATTATGAATAATTCGTTTCTTTGATACCTGCCTTACTTCTGTCTTCTCATTATTCAAACTGAGGCCCATTCTGCCAGTTTCTAAAACCACAATGTCTGTCATTTCCAATCATGCCTCAAAATTTAATAGAGTTTAAATTTTTGTCACAACAGATCCAGCACTGGAATTCCCAGTGTCAGATCGCACGCTTTGGGAAATTACATAGATAAATGTGGACAATAAATGGTAAACAACAAAGGACGAAAAAGTATGTTATGTTGAAGATAATAGTAGTCCTCAGGGAAATATTTAGGATGTCTGATGCCCCTGTGCAGTCATTTATTTTACTTCCTTCTTCCCTCAGCTGAACACCAGAAAGCTAATCTACACGCCGACAAAATTTTGCCGCCCTGTGCAACATCAGTTGCATATTTAAATACGTCCTTGGCAGTAGTGGACAAAAAATGTTGACGTTCGGGCCACTTTTGCGCCCCCCCCCCCACCCCTTTTTTTTAAATACATCACCACTTTCAATATTTTCTAGACAAAGATGTGGGCCCTCAGATCCCTCGAGCATCCCTTCCCCACCCGTAGTGGGCCGTAGTGGGTGTCATCCTTGAGGAAGATGACAAAATTGCAAAAATAAGTGTTTTTAACATTACAAAAATATATTTGGGGAAGGGAAGCTGACAAAATGGCCCACACAGAGACCAGGAATTTTCCGCACCGGGTACTCCTGCTATTAATAGTATACTGGAGGGCAGATACATTCTAAACTTGAAATAATGTGAATAATATAAACACATGTTTTCTGGAGGAGTTTTTCTTCTTCTTCTTTTCCACCATTTACCTCAATGAGATGTTCGGGGGAGATGTAAGGATCGTTTGTACGCCTGTCCAAATGCATTGTGCAAGTTGGTGTTCATTTCTGTTAGGTTGCTCTTGATAGTGTCGCTCCATCTCTTTCGTGGTCTTCCCCTTGATGTGTTCATTATATTTATTTAGTGTTGCTCTCTATGGCAGTTGGTACCAGAGCATTCTAGTCAGGTGGCCAAACCATCTTGTATGACAGGTTTCAGTCTTTGTCTTGTTCTGATTTCTTCATTCTTGATTTCATCTCTTCTTGTCACACCGGCAGCTTTCCTAAGACATCTCATCTCTGTTCTTACGACCTCCGCTCGAATGAATTTCTACAAAAAGTTAAAGGAGCTCCTTGGTCTCTTTACAAACTTACTGGAAGTGGAGGCCGCACGGGGAGCGGTTAAGCGTTGTGGGGAGAAACAGTTTGCGATCCATTACTTGATGGGCAGCAATGGCTACTATAATTCCGTGTCAATGTAGAAGATCTTTAATGACATCAATCCATATTCTCATAGGGTGGCCTCTTAGTTTTACTTCAGATCTTTTCATGTGTAGCGCCTGCGTTGGTTATTATTTTGGGTGAATTCTTACTGACCAGAGTATTTGATTTTCTGTTTCTCAGTGAATTTGCTGCTCGATGTTGTTCCTACATTCTGTCGGATAATATCATTTCTAACTTTGTCTCAGATGGTTGAGATGGCATCTAATTTCACAGTTGTTATTTTTACGTAAGTTCGCCTTTCATATGTCCAAGTCTGGCACTGGTAGCACAGTGTTGGAACGAATTAGCTATTTCTAATCTGTTTCTTGGGGCTCTTACTTATGTTTGTGTGTCTTAATAATGGTATCAGTTGATACAGAAGCGCATTGGCTCGTTAGTATCTTGTTTCTATTTCCCGATCTATTCTCCCATCCTCCGAGAATATACTTCCTAGATATGCAAATTATGTAACAGCTCCAGACAATTACCATTCTGTCCTATATGTTACGGAGTAGAAATTCTGAACTGGATTACTTCAGTTTTATTAGTGTTTATTTATAACCAATTTGTAACCCTTTGGGGAAAAAGTTCGTTAGCTCGTTCATTCCGTCCTACACATTTCCAGCACGCAAAGGTCTGTCTACAATGAGGATTATGGCTGCTTTCAATATCGAACAAAGACTACTAATACTTCTATTCTACGGTCTGGTCCTTTCCCCCATTGAATATGCTCTGGCCATCCTCACTGTCAGTGCTACCCAGATTGAACGCCTTAAAAAGGTGCAAAATGAAGCCATGCGCATTATTTTGGGATGAACAAGAGACACATCCTGTGGAGCATTGAGGTATCTACTTGGCTTTCCAACAATGAACCAAAGGATCAGGATGTGGAGGGCTCGGGCATACCTTAAAATATGTGCTGATAAGAAACAGCCACTGCATCAAGCGCTTTTTAGTGAAAAGGGCGACAAGCTGAAGAGGGGGAAATCATGGCTAGGTCGGGCAGAAGATGTTATTAGGCAAATATGCAGCCTAACCGACATCACCCCTGGTGCAGAGTGGATACCTGTGTCTCGTATGTTTATTTGTACATTTTCCTGTATTGCCACACTCAACAGGCAATGGAGAGAAGAGAATCCTGTTGCTGTTAATGCAAAGGTCAACGCTCTCATCAGTGAAAATTCAATCTACACTTACGGATCCGTTATACGCTAAAAAAGATGCGCATGGTCATTCACAGCACGCTCAGCAGCCAGAACAGTCAAAGAAGTCAACGGCGCCTTCTCCATGACAACCAGGTGACGATAGAGGTGATGGCAGTATTGCAAGCGTTCGCCTGGCGCGAGACACAAAACTACACCCGCGTATGAATTCCAGAGAAATTTGACTAAAAAGCTCAACAAAATGGGAAAAAGGAAAACGTGCACAAAACAACACAACGTAACGTTTCGGCCAGGCAGCCTTTTTCAAACACAAGTGGACTACACAAAAGAGGAATGGAGAGTATGTAGATCTCTAAGGGGTGACGTGAGCGACGTTTAAAAAATGTGATGCGGAATAAATGAAGTAAAATAAAATAAACTATGGCTTAAAAATATAGTCACAATACTGGGAATAAAAGAAATGCAAGTGTTAATGATACATAAATGATATTGATAAGAAATAGAATATGGTAATAATATGAAATAAAATAAAATAATTAACATTTAAAATGTAATAAGATTAGAACTATTTAGATGAAGGTATGTTGGATATTGATACCTCTTGGACTAAGAACGCCAAGGCTGTGGATAAGGCGATTTTCCAAAGCGAGGCGGGTAGTATGATCGCCAGAGCAAGATTTTAATGCTGTGACAGATATGTCATCTTTACCGCTGTGGTCAGGGCTATTAAAATGAAGAGGGATTGGTTTGAGTGTCTTCTTGTCGATATCAGAGAGGTGTTCCCGGAAACGATCAGCTAGCTTCCTGCCAGTCTCCCCAATGTATGCCATGCTGCATCGTTTGCAGATAATTGCATAAATTACGTTGCGGGATTCGCAAGTAAAAGGTTCCCTAATTTGAAAAGAACCATTAGGGAAACTGACCGAAGAAGTCTGGACAACGAAAGGACATGTTTTGCAGGTGCTGCGTGAGCACTGAGTAGTCCCAAGAGGAAGTGCTGTATGGATCGGTGGGAGTCGGCTTCGGACAAGTATGTCTTTAAGGTTGCGATCTCGTCTGTAAACTAATCTAGGTTTCTCACTGAAGATAATCTTGGTGTCCGGATCAGAGCGGAGGATGTCCAAATGACGAAAGAATACTTTGGAAGCAACCACATTGTTAGGGTGAAAAGTCAAGATCAATTTAGGTCCCTCCTTGGTGGAGTTACGTTTGGTAGGAAAAGCATCTCTCCTGGTGATTGCTAAAACTTTGTTTAGAGCCCCTTGTAGAATGTGTTCCGGATAGAAACGGGCACGGAAGAATTTTTGTGCACGTTTTCCTTTTTCCCATTTTGTTGAGCTTTTTAGTCAAATTTCTCTGGAATTCATTGTATTAGCTTGACTGCAGTCACCCCCATAGTTTCACCATTTTTGGATTTACACCCGCGTATGTAAACTCAATGATTCAATGAGTATGATCCGGAGGGTTCAGGCAGGTTCGGTGCGAAGACAATGGCTTGAATCATTACAGAAGTCCACTGTTCGTGGTCACCTTTATTTTTGCTCCGGGATACGCTGGCGTCGATGGAAATGAAAGAGCTGATAGGTTGGCTGGATCCGTTATTACGGTCAGCCGATGGATCATGCTGATATTATTAATGCCCTCAGAGAAATGGAAAGGATAGAGGCCTGGTGGTTGGGGGGGGGGTGAATCCACATCACTTGCCAGAATGGCAGACTTGAGAATTAATTAATCGGCAGAGAAAAAAAACGAGCCGTACACCAGACACATCAAAAAACTTGTTAATCAACATAGAACTGGTACTATTAGCCATCGGACGTTGGGGTTCACAGTGAGGGGAGGTTCTAAGGCCCTATGGACATGTCCGGAGTGTAATCATGATAACCCAACTAACTAACTAACATTTCCAAAAATGGTGGTACAGGCAGGAAAGTAGGAACAACAGCAAGGGTGGCGGTGCTGATGGTGTCGTAGCAGTAGGAGGCAGAGGACAGTATAATAATATATTGGATGCATTTTTGGAACTCTCAAACAAAGCGGCTGAGTGCATACAATTAAAATCCAGAAAGGAAAATTTTGAAATAACATAAATTAATAATAATTCCGCAAAACTGTTTCAACAAAATGTTTTATTTTTTAAATTTGACAAGCGTGTGACCTTGACTACTGCTTCCGTCTTTTTGGTGCTCATGCAGATAGTGAAATCTTAGGCCGTATCGAAGGTATATCACCATTTCAACATGGCATTTCATATGCTGGAGAGACCATGTCCGCACAAACCTAAGCCTGTTTTTATGACACCGATCGACAAGTCAGCGGTAAGACAATGTGGTTGTCACGTGTGGCAGAGTTAATGCACGTTTATTTTTTTTATGTATGCCAAGTTATGTCGGCTCTGTGGCTAAGTCGATGTGAACGCTTCGTAATGCCGGGATGCCGGGTTCGATCCCAGCTGCGGGCCATGAGCCTTGCGTTGGTTTCGACAGTGGTATCAAGAAAGCCGACCGTCCAGAAGCAATGGCAAACTACTGGAGGTAAATTTGCCTAGAAAAACCACACAACAGCCAGGGACTGTTGGTGTTGATTCTGCAACGTCCTGTAGAGGATACGCAACTAACCTATGCCAAGTTATTCACTTTGCTATTGTTTCCATTCCAATACTAATCCTATAATTGGCAACAAGTTTCTTCTTCATCTGCTTTCGTTCGCCTAAAAAAAATGATCTATATATGCAGTAATATCTCTATATGAAATTCAGTGTTATCTTTTAAATTCACAAAACGGTCCGTCCGTAAAGTGCAGCTTCCATCGGTTAAAAAAGAGGTCTCTGTGGCGAAGTAGTAAGCTGCCTCTGGCTTAGAAGGTCAGGGTTTCATTTCATGGCGGCTTTGTTTGGTTCGCGGGAGCAATTTTGTTATGGTGACCACCGGGGTCGTCGCCGGAGCTACATAGTTCGTGCTTTGGAGAAAAGCCAAGTCATGGGAGCTATGTGGAATAAAACCCAGCGCTAAGAAGTCGATCATTTAGCCTTTAACCTTTCCACCAGAAAAACAGTTACCGTGAAATGGTGAAGCGTAACATCCCTTTGATCGACAATTTTGCGTTGAAGATGATTAAAAAGTATAGTTATTACTTGGGGGTCGGGGGGGGGGGGGGGGGGGGTACTTAATGATTTTCCAAAAGTTGTAGTTACTGCTGTTTTTACTGCTACAACTTAAAAAACATTAAATGACTCAAGCCACCCGAGAAGCGCAAGACGAATAGATTACTGGGCTACAACCTGGTTCAGTGAGACGACAAAAGAAGAAGCAGAGGAAGTAGTGTAGACACTGCAGGCAACATACGATTGTTACCAGATAGCATGATGCTGCCAAGTAGATCACTCCGGTTTTTTTTTTTCATCTAGAACCCTGAGTTTGACTAAACATATAGAACAGGTACACAGATTGGCGGAAAGACGTCAAGCAACCGAAAAGTAGAGCCATTCAGCTTCACATTATCACAAATAGAAACGATAAGTGAACGTTGCGGCTAGAGAACTTTTATCAGCACAGGACATTAATCTATAAAGCTTAAAAAACGCGTAGTTATCTGATGGGCTTTCCTGTTTAGAAAAAAAAAACGCATGGTTATCTGATGGGTTTTCCTGTTTATAAAAAAAAAACGCATAGTTATCTAATAGGCTTTCCAGTTTAGAAAAAAAAAGCGCATAGTTATCTGATAGGCTTTCCTGTTTAGAAAAAAAACCCGCATAGTTATCTGATATGCTTTCCTGTTTAGGGAAAAAAACGCATAGTTATCTGATGGTGCTTTCCTGTTTAGAAAAAAAAACGCATAGTTATCTGATGGTGCTTCCCTGTTTAGAAAAAAAAAAAAACGCATAGTTATCTGATGGTGCTTTCCTGTTTAGAAAAAAAAAACGCATAGTTATCTGATGGTGCTTCCCTGTTTAGAAAAAAAAAACGCATAGTTATCTGGTGGCGCACTTTTATTAGTTGACGGGAAAACCTGTGCACCTAAAATCTATCTACGACCTAGATGCAAAAGAACTGTCATTTGATTAGTTCGGTCCTACGGTATTCTTTAATGCAATTTGAACACTTTTATCTATTAAATTACAACGATTTGGAATGGCAAAATTATGACACAATTAGGTTCAGTTCAGTGGGAATGCGGTGTTTCAAGTAGTAAAGTGCTATCAGATAACTGTGCATTTCTCTTGTTGAACAGTATAAAATACACCAAGTACGAACAAGAACACACACAATACAATGGTAATACGAAATATACAGTACGGACGAGTTAGACGAGCATAAACAGGTGGTAGCAGTGATGTAGGTGGAAAAAAAAAGGGGGGGGGGGGAGGCGAGAGAGGTACAGTTAGTGATCTGCAGTGAAGCTGTAAAAATAAGGTGAAAAAAATATCATGCAAACGAATAGAAGATGAGTCAGCTTCAGAAACACAAACGACAATTGAACGTTACGGCTGGAGAGCCTTCGTCAGCATAATCTGCCCCACTTGGTGGTGATTTGATGCCTGACGAGGTAAACTTGGTCAAGGCTCTTCGGTAGCAAGTGAGCAATGTCGAAGAGTGGAATAGGTGATCGTAGTCTGGATAGAAGGGCATAGAGGGGGTTGGCAGAGAATTGTACTGGCGCCCTTGGTATAAGAACTCTGGTTGCTAAAAATGGAAAAGGAGGGCGTATGGTTCCCATGTGCTGTGTTGTTGTTTGCGTTCACCGGCCGTAAACCCTGGCGCAAAGACCTGGTTGTTGAGTTTTGCGTGTGCATCCCTTTTACAGATCTTGCTTATTTGTGTGCAGACTGTTAGTTCATTGCCTCTCAGGCAGATGCAGTCCAACTTAGAAGAAAGTCCCCAATTAGTCGACGCTTGTTAGCTGGGGAGGCAGTGGGTCTATTCTTGTTTTCCCTCACAATGTGACACCGGAACCCACACGGGAAGCCAAGTGCTGTGATACTGATTGTTAACTCACCTCAACTGAAATAAATACACATATCTCGTGAATAGTAATAAAAGTAGACTTGCAATGCTAAAAGCAAATTTAGACGTTAAATTCACTGGAAAAGCGAGTCTTTATTGACACAAGCTGCCGGTTATACCTATCTGATGTAGCCGTTAATAGTGCCATAATTATAACTTTTTTTTAAGCTTGAATGGGGTATTTGCGATCAACTTTGTTGTTTAGATTGAGATTTCCAAATCTCAGGATGGTACGGTAATTCTCTAGGTAGCAGTCCAGAGGGGAAAAACTAATCTATGGATCGAGGGAAAAGCGATCCGCGGTAGCTCTTCTGTTAGGTGCCTTGCTGTCTAGGGACCCTAACGGTATAAGTTCAAATTCGTATAGCGGCGAAGTTTTTAAATAACCGACTTTGGCAGCCAAGCTAAAGATGGCCGTGTCCAGAATATTCCTACCACGACAACCTGGGGCTATTTTTAGAGAAGGCAATGACGCCTAGTAGGTCAACGGAAGTCCCGTTTTTGTGAAAATCTGATATGCCGGTCTGTTTTCAATATTTCTATTGAATAAGATTTATGCACAAATTAAACTAAAGTTTAATTTATTTACAACACATTTTATTTGAAGATAGATAATTTTGAAGATAATTAGGTGTGCTATTAAAAATATAACAATAATGGTTCTTGCAGACGAACATAAAACGCCTTTACTGAAGTCAACATGAACACACATATATCAATGACGTGTAGTAATAAATTGAAATTATTCCAGCAAAAATAAAGAAAAGCTGGAGCCCGACCGTGTTTTACCTTACGAAGAAATGTCTTGGGAGTTAAAGGCAGATGAACTGATGCTGACAATTTCGTCGATTGGTCTATAGAAATGAGGATCTAGCAACTATAGTGCGATGCGCTAATGGAGTGAAAATCGCCCAATACATGCAAAATAACAGATACCGATTTGCCGTGAAGTCGTCAGACAGAGGATGGGTCACACAAAAAATAGTAATCACTTGCATCTTTATCAGGGAGATGATCCTTTTATTTTATTCTTGAACAACGAGATGGCGAGAAACACATAGTTGAGTTAATTCAAGAACCGACTTCAGATTACTCAGGGAGTTTTCCATAAGCGCCCGAGAAACACATAAAAGCAATGGAGGTGGGCTATCTTCTCAAATCATTGTATCTAAAAATAATACAAAATATACATTTATAATTTGTTGGGGGAAATATAGGAGAATGGGAAGGGACAGCAGTACCAATGGTCATTCTACAAATTAAACATATGCAAAAGTAATAACCATGCCTGAATTCGAATCTGCCTCCTCCATACGACGAAGGAGCTTCGCTTTAGAATGATTTGATTTGATTCAAGAACCAACATCACAGCACTCGGGGCATTCCCATAAGCACTCCGTCCCCATCTTCTGCTGCCAGCGAAGAGTTCCGATACTAATAGTGCCAGCAGCATTCTGATTAAACGTCTGTCTTGCCTTTCCTCTGAGCCTCGAGCATCTGCCAGAACCTCTCGTCATTCCCATCAATCTCACCACACTGTGGTGATCAGTCTGCTCCTCCGAACTGTACAAGCTCTCCCACAAGGCACTAACCACGTCTGCCTTATCATGCATCAGTATTTCACTAAGCTGTGCAGAGCCAGCCAGTCTGTCCGCCTGTTTATTTCCCAACACACCGGCATCCCTGGTGAAAAAATCCATACAATACTCCTCATCCGTGTCTTTCGCAGCGAGGCATGCAACTCTGCACGAAGAATGCCTGTTCTGATCTTCCTCAGCATTCTTTTTGAGTCAGTTACAATCACGATGTGTGTGTGTGTCGTGTTCTCTAGCCAGCAGAAAGCTGCAGTGACCACCGCCACCTCCATTCTTAAGCTGGATGTTGTGGTATCATATGCTAGGCTCTCCTGCACCAAGCGTCGACCATTAAGTTTTGCTAAGAAACCCCTAGCACTTCTTTTGCCTTTTGACACTGAACCGTTTGTATAAATGATCAAATCTTCTGGCACTTTGACCCACTCCTCTCCTCGCCTAATGTTCTCAAGGATGCAAACCTGTCTGATTGTGTCTTCTGCCTGAGCCATCCATGACCTCTCTCTTGTCAGCCGCTGACCCTTAACTGCACCCAGAGCTTCGTGCAAAGGGTGGTCTGTGTCTGCAGCTACCCTGAGATATGACTTCGCCTACCTGCAACAGTAGGCAAACCGGTGATGTATCGCATACACACCACTGGGGTGTCTCTGGTGCAACCCAAAATTACCTGCATTGCTGCGTTCTGTATGTGCTCAAGTTTGTCCATCTGGCTCTTTGAGACGG